CAAAATAAATCTTCCGTCTTTACAAACTGATCATCTTGGATATTTGTTGTAGTAATAAAAAACTGAGGATTCAAGATGGCAGATTTTAGGTACACAGCTGAGTGATCATGTTCCTGAAATATTAGCATTCTGATCTCATTTTCTTTCACAGGAAACTTGCTATATACTTCTTGTTCTTAGTAATACATAGGAACAATACTTTTGTTAGCTAGGTGAAGTAAATGCTTGTATGCTCTAATACTTTGTTCATTCTGAAGGTTCCATTTCTTTTTAAAAAATTTAAAATAACTTTACTCATTTATTTATGTGGTGCTAAGCAAGTGCTCTCCCACTGAGACACAACCCCAGCCCCTGAAGCTTCGATTTCTTGAGACAGGTACCAGAGGCCTCTTGATGACGGTCATTTGTATTAGGTTTCTGGAATTTCACTCAAATCAGAGAACTCCCTGAGGTTTATATCCCTACACCTACTTTTGAAGTTATAAAAATATTTTGCGTGTAGTATAGACCCCCCATCCCATTTTACTGAGTTAAGAAAAACAATCATAAGTTTCAACTTAATATTATATTCAGAGATGATGTGAAAAGAGGCATCATTTAGCTGTGGAAAATACTCATATACATCAGGTGCTTGGGTTTTAAGTATAAATGTTATAATATGGTGCACATTGTATGGAGACTAAAAAAGCCATGAAGAATGACATAAATCATTGCACTTCCTAAGTATGTGTTATGGTTTGAATAGAAAGTATCCTCCAAAAGCTCCTATGGTAGTGCAGGAATGTTAGGTGAAGTGATTGGATTGTGAGAACTGGAGCCTAATCAATCCATCCTAGTTTGAATGGACTGACTGGGTGGTAACTGTGGGCAGGTGGTGTGTGGCTAGAGGAGGTAGGTCACTGGGGATGGTCCTAGAATTGTGCATCTTTCCTGAGGCTCCTTCCTCTCTTTGCTTCTAGGCTGCCATGAATGGAGCAGGGCTCCTCCCTCATACCCTTCTACCATGATGCTCTGCCTCACCTCAGACCTAGAGCAATGAAGCCGGTTGACAACCGAAAGAACCTCTGAAACCCTGAGCCAAAATAAACTTTCCATCCTGTAAATTGTACTTGCCAGGTATTTTGGTCACAGTGATGAAAACCTAAGTCATGTAGTATGCAATACAATATACCAAACACTGGAATTTGAAGGCCACATTATTTCAGGGCCAGGGAATGGATGACTTGGATTGCCCCTGCTGAGAGCTGTTAGGTGTGTGACATCCTGAGCCAGTGTTAAGGAGCTTGTGTGCTTGCTAAATTTCTTCCCCAATATATTCTGTGCTGAATTACTTTGCCCAATGCTATGGCAAGGTTCAGTGTAGGACACTGGAATTTTTATTCATTTCTATAGTCTACTTTCCAAAAGATTAAACAACTGCAATGAAATTGAAGCTAAGGAGATTATGTTCAAATCTCATTCCTTTTACCTCTGCCACTCTGGATCTAACCAGCTCTTTTTTCCCCTGTATAACACTGGATCTGATTTAGACTATGTGCCCCATTAAGACTGCTCCAGTGAGCTCACAGATGTGGAAGACATGTAATTCGTAAAATGTCACACCCATAAGAGGCTTAACTGAAGAGCTAAACACTGTGTGGGTCTTTAGTCAGTGTATTTGAGGACTACATCATTGCTGGGCTGTCAGGGAGTCCAGAGGGAGTTTTAGTCACTCATCTTCTATAAGCACATGAGCATCAAGTATGGAAATGGCCTTTCTGAGCATTCTGACAAACCCATAGTGCTCTGGAAGTTCCCTTCGAACTACCCAAAACAAGTGATAAAGGAAACCAGAAACAGTTTGATTTTAAATCAAAAGTTATGATTTTATTTTTAATCTTAATACACCAAAAAAAATATTTCTTTTAATGTAGTGAAATAAGCACTTGAAAATAACAATTTCAACATTGCTGTGATTTGCTCTGTGAGGCTTTGATGGGTGGGTTTGTCTCTAAACACAGGCCCTGAGGCCCCTAAGAAGCTGAATTTTCAGGCGGTCTTCAAGGTAGTAGCAAGCAGCCTCCTGCCTGAACATCCCCAGACCAGCAGACTTGTCTGAAATGAACATGACCAGAAAGCACTGTCAGACTGCCTCTGTAACCTTGATTTTTGTCCACTGGAAGAAAAAAGTCACAAGTGCCACCAAACATTGGGAAAACAACAGCTCTTATATATCAATACAAGGCGGGACCCTTCAGATGTGTCCTAACTGGTTACAAAGGTGGCTTTGACTGATTTATGGAACCAGTTTCTTTAGACAGTTACATCAGGAGTTTCCTACAATACAGTTGTGGGTATGGGCTTCCAGGGACATCTATCTGATCGTGAGACTGTCACCTGCCTGACCTAAAATTAAAGTGCTGTAACTGAGACCTCACCAAATCCACTCATGGATGTGGTCCTGCTGTCCACCTGGGCTGCAAGAACAACTTGTCACTTTCTTTAAGAAGTGGAACGCAGGAGGAAGGGAAGTCTGGGGATCCTGCCCCACTTCTGTGAACCCTGAATTTTCAAAGTATTTGAGGATGAGGAAAGTCACTTGATGATTCAACAGGCTTATGGTATTCTTTGATACAGTGTGCAGGTGTACTCAACTGGCCTCTTCCGCAATATTCTGCCATTTGGCTCACAGATGTTTATAACAGCATCTGTCAAAACCAGCATTCCAGAAAAATGCTGTAACTACACTGTCACCTGTTTTGTATCACTGTCAGGTATACCAGCATACAGAAGTGGCTGGCTTATTGGCAAAACTAGTACCTACCACTTCATACTGATTGTCAGATCAAGATAGGGCATCACTTTTATCATTTTAATGTGCATATGTGACAGGTTAAATGCTGTGGTCTGGTCTTAGTGAAATTTCTTCTTGATGGCACAAAGAAATGGGCAGAGGAACAACTTTAAAGAGCTCTGGGAAACAATGACTCATACCATGAACATAGGCTCTACCATCATCCCAAGTTGATAGCAAAATATTTATTATTGAAAACAAAGACTGGGAAAAGATAACATTGGCTGCTGGAAAGTTCTGGGCTTTCATCATGGTATTCTTACAGTGTTACTTTTCAGGATGGAAGCTTTTTCTGTAAAGTATCTAAGAGATATGGGCATGGACCATATTCTGAAGCTTGGGAGGCCAAGTCTATTTGGTCTTCTCCATTCTCCTAGCAGTTCCCTACAATAAACATTGGACAGTCCAACAAATCTGCTAAAGAATCATTAGCCCTCAGAATGTGCCATTGTTGGCTTAGTTGTGTGACACATAGTCTCTGAGCTGAGCCAGTTCTATCAGAACAAGGAAAAGAAGATTATCTGAGCATGCTCTCTCACCCAGGTAATTCAGTGGTTTGGGAATATGGCCAGCCTTCTGCAAGTGACTCCAGGTGCTTTGTTACTCAGAGGTGACAGGGTTTATCTTATCCTGAAGATACTACACTGGATTTAAAAATATTTTCCATGGGTCTCTTGGCTAGAAACCTTCTCCCTATTGCTTTTTCCATTCCATTCTACCCACTCAAAAGAAATTTTGGACTGGAGTCAAGAGGTTAGTCACTGGACCAGCCAGTCTCTTTATGTAAGCATAGATAGCTGGAGAAGTGACAGGGAGGGATAAATCAACCCTCTCATTGTCCTTGACTAATACATAGGTAAGTATTCCCCTCCCCACTAATTTTTGTAGTGCAGTATGATTAGAAAAGCAGGAATAAATTACCTGCAATAACCTTAATCCATGATTTTAACTTGGTACTTTGGCCTAGCACTGAATATAAATACAATAAATAAATAATAATAGTAGTGTTTTTTCTCATAAGCAACACTAGAAGGTTCAGGAAAAAAATTCCCTGTTGAATGAATGGAGCATTTCTTACTAGAAATTTATTGCAAATTCATGCATTTGGGTTGATGTTCAGACCTAATGTGCAAAATTATATATATATATATACATATATGTATACTTACACATACATGTATATATGATTATTCCATACACACACATATGAAATCAAGGATTTGTTTTTTATTTAATCCAGGACTGATGTTTTCACCATACTGGGATTGGAATGCAGTGGAAACTCATTTTAATAGAAAGACACTCTATTGTAGCACAGTGGGGCAGCTATAAAAATTGCCTGCCCATTTTCCTGGAATGTTAACTGACAGCAGGATTATCTATGTGGCAGTCAATTCTCTGGTAGGTTTCAGATTTGTCATGGGCCAGTGATCCAGCCTCATATCTTGATATAATATCTCAGCTAAGCTGAGATATTAAAAACAGTGAGCTGAACCTATATTACCAGAATTTTGTTTTTTAAAAAATGTGTGGCTTTTTTTCCTCCCATGATAAACACTGGAAATGCTTTAGATATATTTACCTAGTTTAAAAACTATTTATTAGACTTTCAACCTGTAAACCCAAATTTTAAGTTATTTTACAAGTGAACAGAAGCATGAACTTAATATCAAGACAAATGTCTTTGGAAGCATCATCTAGAGTCCTTTTTAAGGTTTATGTTCATTTCTTTATTCTAACCTGCATTAAAGAATCTATGATAAATCACCGAATTAAATAATTAAATCTACTAGATGAGCCTCTGACTGGTCCTTTGACTAAATTCAATTGACACGTGGCCTTTTTTCTTGTCTTAATTAGTCTACTCACTTTCTGTTCTAAGAGGGAAAAAGTCTTATTGCACAGTATCATGTCTTTGCAAAGCTCAAAAGACCGTTTGCATCCTAAGAATCTATCCTAGTTGTTGTAGCAGGACCTAGCTTTTTAGCTCACATCAATTTCTGCCCTAATAACATTACATCCTTCCATCAATCATATCTCATCTATGAACCAAAATCAGGACACCATAGACTGTTCACAATAATTTAACCTGGACATAACAGCTTCTTCTCTGCACAGCCCCCTCCCCAGGTCTTTCAGTCATGACTTGGTTTGCATGGACTCTGTGTTCATTGTTCAAGCCATTCACACAGAATGGAATAAAACTTTATTCTTTTAAAATTCCACACATAAACAAGATGCTGAAAAAGCCCTTGCCATCTCTGACAGAAAAGCAGAGCAGCTCTGTTTCATGAATGACAGCACAATTAAAGCTAAAATAATATAAAAATAATTTGAAAAATCCCTTTTACTGTACACTCTCAAATAAAGCAAGAAAGATAAACAACAGTTTCTGCTAGCCAGAAAATGTGTTACTACTCATTTGGGCTTTGAAGTTCAGTGTACCCCACATTTGTGTGCATATATGTGTGGTTATGTGTGTATAATCTATGCAGTGTAGTAGCCCCTAACCTTTTCATCTAGTTTGCCTAATCATTAAGCTACTGAACCAATTAAAATACTATTATATCACATCGAACAACTTTACATAATTGCTTCTTTGAAATCCTAGGAACGCTGACACATTTATTTGGCTTGTAGAGGACTGAAATATTACAGATAATATTATCTAGCTCTTTTCTTAAAAAAAGAATATGGCTCTTAATAAATTGATTTTCTGAGTTCCAGAGCAAAAGTCCCTTTTAAAAAATTTCTGAAGCTGACTTGAAGCAGGAAGGATGTCTTCTGATTTGGCCAAACCTACGACGAGTTGTTTAATATCATTTGAAATTGAAAGGATTCTTCTATGGGGGCCTTTTGCTATCAACTATTTCCAGCCAAACTTGTCATGGTGTGTTTGTTAATTATCTCCACTTGGCCAGCAGAGGGCACTTAGAACACCTCTGCATGGCTTGGGGAGCTAATGTGGACCAGGTGGAAACATAGCGCTCACCCCAAATCAGGCAGAGACTCTGCAGATTTCTTTGTAAATTCACAAAAATGTAGAAAACATGGACCATCGCCCAGGGATTCATTTGGAAAGTGAGGACTATGTGTGAAGGCCAACAGGGAGGAGCATCCTAATGTCTGGCTACTGAGGGCTCTTTAGCTCATGCCTTTTCCCCTTCCCCAGCTCCACTGATGCTGGGCTCAGCCCTTCCACATACAGTGCAGGATGCACTTTCAAGCCATCTGGTTGAGTTTTTTTTTTTTTTTTATTTGTTTGTTTGTTTTTTTGAGTCTGCATTTACTGTTCTGTTCAAATGCCTGGGACAACTAAACAAATGTTTCATATCTCATCTAAGAGTAGAAATATTACATTAGAAATATTCTGGTACAGAGAGCTGCCCCTTTGGGACCTGGGTTGCATTACTTCCATTCTCCCAGAAAGAACCTTGGAAAAGTACTGTGCCCTGTTTTGTTTTTGGCAAACTCACTAGCCTGCGGCTGGGAAGTGAAAGGAAAAATATCCATCTATGTCTTGAGTTGAACTAAAAAATGATTAAGACATCTTTTTTTCATGGGGGCTACAACAAGCTAACCTTTCTTAAAAAGGCTTGAGTTTCTGCAAAAGCATTATTGTCCTAGATATAAACCCTGTCTCTCTTCCATTTTCATCTTTTCTACTGGCTCCAGTTTCATGTCAAAAAAGATCAGAAAGGATTGTGTGGTGTGTGTGTGTGTGTGTGTGTGCTCGCACAGTTTTTAAAGTAAAATTCTCTCATCCTTAGAGAAAGATAACACTTAGTAAATACTTTTTTTTTCATATAGTGTTAATAGCCTTTGCTTGCTTTCTGTTAGTCTCTCTCTGCCTCTGGCTCACTGTTGTTCTCATTTGTCCTAGAGTAGACAGATAAGAGGGATTGGGGTCTTCCAGCAGCAGTGCTTTGAGATGGAGGTGCACTCAGTGAGTCCTCACCCAAAAAAGGATCATAAACTTACTGGGTTAAGTCAACCTAATTATCCCTAAGCTGCCTCGGGTTTTGTGTCTGCTCGTCTGTTTTGTTTTAGCTGCACCATGTGATTCCTTGTGCCATTTTCTTTTGTCTTATTATTTTTCTTGATGACCCTGAGCTATGGCTTTCTCCTCAGTTCCAACACTATTCAGCCTTCGTTGTTTTCTTCATTTTGCCAATGTAGGCCTCAAAGAAGAAATGGCAGAAGAGCACAAGGTAGCTGAGGTACATGAGTGAGGACCAGAAGATGTTCTGAAAGTGAGAGTGACACTGGTCTTGCTGCATCCAGTAGAAGACCAGGTAGTTAATGACACAGCCCATCAGCATCTGAGTGATCTGGGACAAGGTGATGAACATGGCAAACTTCCGGGAGACTCGGAAACCCGCGGCCCGCAAGGCATAGTAAGAGTACATCACGGCGTGCACGCCATAGTTCATAGTCATGAACCAACCACCCCCGGCAATCATGTCTTTGTAGGAGTACCAAGAGTACAGGAGCACAGTGATGTGGTGGTACCAGTGCAGGAAGATCAGCTTCTGCTTCCTCAGAATGATGAATATTGTGTCTCCTGGAAGATAAAGGAGGGAAAAATGTACATAAGCTCTTGACCACACACACAATGATAATCCAGAGTTTTGTTAGAGGACAGATATCTTGAGCTAGGACTGGAGAATTAGATGAACTGGATTATAACCATGAGCTGGTATTTGCTACCTCTTTGACGTTGGGCAAGTTACTTATTCTCATTATTTTCTAGTTTCCTCATCTCCAAAATGGGATAATTAGTAACAGCAGTTTGGAATTATCTGAGGATTAAACAAGATAGTCAATATACCTTCTTCATACATGGTAAGTAATCAACAGATGTTACTTTCAAGGTATTTTACACAAAGTCCTACTAATTTTTGATCTAGAATGGACATTATCATCTAGGCTGTCTGATTCTCAGTGAACCATTCATCTTAGGATATATCACCCAGAGGGGACTGGTGACCTGCCAATCAAGAGAAATAGGCTGGAATGCAAAGCAAGTGCCCAGCAAAATATTCTTAGTCCTCTCCAGAGTTGTAAAACCATACTTTTTTCTTTGATCCATGACAAAAGATACCCTTTAAACACCCATTTTTGTGAGCTCTCTGTATAATGTCCAACCCTTGCAATATGTAAGAAAAGCAAAATTTAAATAAAAGGCAAAGATGAAAGAAAAGGGCAACAAAAATCATCCTCTATACACGTGCACTGATGTGGTGGGCAAAGGGAATGCTTGACACCAAGGAATCAAGTGAGGAAAAACTGAAAATAAGAGTTCATTGTATGGAATTAACTATAAAGAAAGCTCTGCAGGATCCACCAAAATTTTTTCTTATTACATCACTGTGAAGAAACAGACCACTGTTTCTGAAGTAAGAAATTATGCAAGAATTATGCTCAGGTTGGTAGATGCTCTGTATCTGCAATGATTCTGAAAAATAGAGAATGTAGAACATTTATGAGAAAATGGATAAAAAGCAAGCCTAGTAACAATTCACCCAATTCCATTAATAAGTAAGATAAAAAGGATAAGACTGACATGTGAGTCAGAAGCAGATGTATGCAGGTAAACGTTTCTTTTCTTTCTCATCTCTGTGGTTATCAGATATGGGGAACACCAGCATCCTTCAGGGTCTCTGGTGAACCCAGAGTAACTTCTCTTTGTATAACAAGAATTAGAATGTCCTTAGTCTAAAAATTTAGTAAGCACAAAGGGGACTCATACTTATGCCTTCCATACTTTATGATGGCCTAAAATGCTTGGCATTAGGCAAGGTAAGAAAACTGGGCTTGGGGAGACTTTTGAGGTTCTGATGGCTGTGGCTGGAATACAGGTGGTGCCCCATTCCACGCATCAGGGCTATTAGTGTATTTTTTTCTCTGCCGAATTATTATTTGTTATTACTTTGTTTAGAAAAGAAAAGCAAAGTCTCCAGTTGCTACATTTCTGAACCTGTTTAAAATTTCCAATGAAATCCTCTCTCTCATTTTTATTATGTCTATAAATGTCAGACAATGATAATGACAGATGGTGATGGTCACTCTCATGTGTATATTTAAGGGCTGAAACTGGGGTCCGGAGACCTGGGGTCTACTTCCTGGTGTTTAACTGTGCTATTCTGGCACGCCTGTCAAAGACTTATACTTCTGTGTAATTATTGTTCTGTGCCTATCTTTCCACTATAGACTGTAATGCAGATACAATAATCCCAGCCGACTTTTCTTCACAGTGGAAAGAAGACAGAAGTCCAAGGAACTGTATGTTAAAAACAAATTTTAGTCATTCATATTGAGAAGGTGTTTTTCCCCCAAGTCTCTTAGCATTAACTAAAATATATATCCAACATAATCTCTAAACACACTATAATAAAAGTATATGCCGCAAAATAACATGAATTTCATCCTAATTCTTGATGTCTAAAGACCATATTCGAATGAACCAATGTGGAATGCAAACTGGAAACTGCAATTCTAGGGTTGAGGCTTTGTTTTTCCTGACCACAGGGGTGGAGTTGGGGTTGTCTCAGGCTTGGTCTGAGACATACTAGGTGTTGCTAGGTACTTTGGAGAGGGGGGTTGGAGTCAAAGATGTTATCATAAAATCTTGAAGACAAAATGACTTTGAATTCACTCCAAGAATTTCTTCCAGAACAACATGTATAGGAGGATGATAGACGGAGTAATGAAGATGACTATCTCCCCATGATGGCTCTGAAACTGCTCAGCAGCACTACTCCAAAGTCAAACCAGGGTTACTTCTTAAGACCATAGATGCAGAGAACTGCGGTTTCCCTAGTATGAAGGGAAACTGGTAGGGGGTTCCAGAAGGGCCAACCCAGACCCTTCAAGGTCATTGACATTGCCGCTTACATGTACCAGCCAGGTACTGGGGCAGGTACAGAATATATTTCCTCTAGAGAAATCAAATAACATCACATTTAATTTGTCATGAGCCAGAGGCATGCCAAACTGTGGCATTTACAGGCTTGCCAGAGTTATAGAGGGACCCAGAAATGTAAACTCTCCTAGGGACTGTATATTTGATGTTGGCCAACCATTCTTTCTTGGCCACATGTCCAGCTGGCATTGTGGAATGCATTTTGACCAAGTACAAGCAACAAGACTTTGGACTCTTGAGGGTTTCAGTCATGTCACCTATTTTAGCTACTTCCTGGTTCATGTCCTCTTAATCATGATCTACCTTTTGGTCCAGCTATTTTGAGTTAAGAGATAACCTGCAGGCATAGCTTGATGTTTTTTTTTACCTAAATGTCCACCCCCTGAACTATACCTTCTGCCTGTGCACCTGGTAAGCGCAGATATCCATGAATCTATGGAGAAGTCCTTTATCATTTAGAAAATCCCCAGAATACACGCAGCCACCAAGGGAAACAGAGACCATACCCTGCATGTGGCTTGTCACAGACGGCTGAGTTTCTCTTCGCAGAATTAGCTGGAGTGCTGCTGAGTCAGAGGTTCAAAAACAATGACAAGCTCAACTGAGCAAGGACCCAGACTTACAGCAGATGTTTCCAAGTTTTAACAAGAGCAAATCTCAGCAGGTTTTAATATAATTCAAACAGGAGGCACTAAAGATTTGGCATACAAAAGCAGGGTGATGGCTCTCTTTCTCTCACTTGTTCTAGTAGAATGTAACCCTCTAAATTCATTGAAACCAGCTTATTGTTTTCTGCTGAACAGAATCCTTGCTGTTAACTAAAAGTTTAGTGAAAGGGGCAGTCAGTGTTAAATGCGTGTGGAGTTTTGGCTGCGGAGATGCAAAAGTTTTGGAGATGGATGGTGTGATGGTTGTACAACAATGTGAATATTATGTATATTTTACTGCAATTATAAAAAAAGTTTAGTGAAAACTGCAGGCATGTGGATTTGGGGGAGAAACACAGTTTCATTGTTGTATATGGGAGAACTGTTCTTTCCTTTCCTTCCAATATTCATACAGGAGGACACAATCTTGGAATACTGAAAAGGCAAAACTTGGGACTGAAAAATAAGCAAAGTTATAAATAAATAATCCAAATTATAAATAAATCATTCAAATAGATCTTTCTTAATCAAATGGTAACAAAGAATATGCTCTCAATAAGGGCCAGTGGTTGGCTGCCCTGCAGCACTGGTGCTGATTTTTAGGTAGGTTCGTTTTTGACTTAGCCTTTCACTTTTGCAAGACCACTGTCAAACAAGCTCTAGAATATTTGAAAGATAATATAATTGAAAAAGGTCTTCAGAGCATGAAAACATCACTATAAAAAATCTGGAACTGTCTTGAGATTTTAGGTAGCTTAACTAGCTTCAAAGAGACCATGTGAAGATTACCTTTTTTCCAATGTCAACACTTGAATCCTGTATTTTAGCTGGGAAGGGATGGCTTATTGGATAATCTACAAACTATTACCACAAATGACTGTGGCGATGTGCCTCTCCAGGGAAAAGAGCTGCATGCCAGCAACACACCACGCCAAGCCTGTCAAGCCAAGGACTTGAGTCTGCCTCCATCCAGATGCAAGAGGAAGACTGCTAGGTGGCAGAGGGGAGTGGAACATTCGGGTCTACACTAAATTCACTACACTAATTTGGATGAATTAGCATCATCAGGTCAAAGCAACACAGAGCACAGACACCTGAGTGCTGCCATAGCAGCTCTCCCCCAAGAACTCCAGCTCCATCCACTATTCTAGAACTTCACTTTTCATCTGGAATAGAGTTAGGAGGGCACAGAGCAGAGGTCTAATCATGTGTTCAAAGAAAACTGATGAATATAAACAGCTTGAGGTGGCTCTTCAATAAAATATTCCTTAAAAAAGCAGAAGGGACTACTTTTATTCTCAAGCCCCTCAGTAGACACAACTCAGAACAGACAAGGGATCCTTGCAGACTTTTCTTGGGCTGGGGATATAGCTCAGTTGGTAGAGTGCTTGACTCCCATGCACAAGGCCCTGGGTTCAATCCCCAGCACTACACACACACACACACAGGCTTCTCTAGAACAAAAGAGTGAGATTGCTTCTTTGCAAACTGCAGCTTAACCCCTAAGTTCCAAGTTTGTAATTCTGTAAATATTTCAATAACAGAGTTACCTTAAAAAAGGTTAAAATTTGTTATTCAATTAAAATTTTTATACGTGTTCCATCTCTGGAATGATGGCACACGATGGGTTAAGGGTTAGTAATAAGATACCACTTCTGATTTAACAATGGGGATAGTTTTTATTGATTTATCCTTATTTAAGGATACTTATTATAGAGCATAAAAGAAAAGTCAAGGGAACATGATTTTCTCAACTTGAATAATTCTCAATTATGTAGAAATTGATTTATTTTAAAGGAAAAAAAAAAATCATGCTCCAAGAGTAAAGAATACCTGCTTCCAGTCTCAGACCAACCCCAGTTTTGAAAATAAGTGCTGATTTAGAAATCTTATGAACCTAAATAAAAAAAGAATCACTATGAAAGAAATATATCTAACAAAATGATCTTTTATCCACAAATGAAAAAAAAAAACAAAATTAAAATATTCTCACAATCTAAAAATTCCTAAAAATAGATTTCCAGACTTTGTACCTAATGAAATCAACACAAGTATGAAAAAATAGCTTCCTGGGGCCCGATCCATAAACTTTATATTGTAAAATTCTTTTTAGACAAAGTAGCCATTCTATTCTAGCCCCTATTAAATACCTGGTACATGGTTGGTGCTTAGTATAAACTTATTAAATAGATGAATCCACTTAATGCATTTTTCTCTAGTTTTCTAGTTATCTGGGACCATGTGGAAGACCTATCTTTGCACTGCTGCCCCTCTTAAAAAAGGTTTTAGAAAACTTTTCTGCTGCTGCTTGTCCTGACCTGGAATTGTCAAACCAATTGCAAGGTACTTGTAGGCAGCAGGTTTTTAGCACACAGTGACAAATATCAGAGAGAATTCATACCCAGGGGTATGAAACAGAGGCACCTTACAGAAGGCTGCTGGTAACTGACACTATAGGAGTCTTGTAATAAAATTATCTCTAACCCCCTTTTTAAGGGAAATAGGAGAGGGAACAATAAATATCTTTTCAACTAAATACAAGCACTTTTTAATGCCAGAGTTAAAATATCTGAATTAAATGGTACAATTCTTAACTGCAGGTTAAGAAAACAGAAACCAAAATACTTAGAGCTTATTGTCAGCAGCAGCTTCCTTTCTCAGGCAACAATGACATTTCCTGAAGAAGTGAGCTCATGTCAAATCCTTACCTCTTCATCTTTCAGTGTTTCTGCCAAATAGTGCCAACCTTCCCTTCAAGACCATTAAAGATTTGAAGGTAAAAACTCTAGAAATGTACACATATAGCCAGTATTGACGTCTAGAAGGGGAACTACCTTTTCCTTTCCCAGGTGATTGAAATCAAACAGCAACAGAGACCAACAATTAGCATTTGTTAATGAGAACAGGAGGACACCCAAACGAAAAGCTTATTTTCCTAATCTGAATCCTACTCAAGAGATCAAAGTATGCTTCGATATGGGGCTTGGAAACAGCTGAGCTGCCCTTTTTCCCTCAATCTAATATTAGCTCAACTGTTGATGGACCTTAGAGAGGGGGCTGTGTATATTTTATAAGCCCCCGGAAATGTATTTTTAGTAGTGCCTGGAAATTGGCATGTTCTACATAAACCATCTTGCCATTTATATACTTGAGGTACAATTATTTAAAAGGCTGGAGGAGACAGAGAAAGTGCAGATCCTTCAAAACCTCAAATTCGTTCATTATAACTTTCCTGCAACCAACAAAACAAGACTTTCAAGCCATTCATTTCTTTGTTCATTAAAAAATAAATAAATAAATACATGGACATGTAGCTACAAAGATGGGGGAGAAAAATGGAAGGAGGGAGGACACTCACCTAGTTCGGGTGCTTTGCTTAGCACAAATGCATAAGCCCAGAATTTGCTGACGGGTCCATTGTAAAAGCTCTGGTCACAAACTGACTGCTTCAGGCCTTTGGTCATCAAAATGTACACCATGTAAGCACCAGTTCGAAGAGCACCGAATATACTTCATAACAAAAAGAGAAAAGAAACAAGAGTCAGGAAAAAGTTAACTTCATCTCTGATGTTAACCATCCTTAGAAGACTGGGTGGCTGCTGACAGGAAACAGGCTTAGGAGAATCATGATTTGCATTTACCGAGAAGCATCTTTACATGTTCTGTAAACCCGATCTAACACAATTCTCAGTGCTTTATTCTGAAGACCATGCACATGATACCACCCTTCATCAGTGTTCAGTGAGGTGACAGAAAAGGGGATGGTTCAAAGAAGGGTATCATGAAGAACAGCTGTGACCTTGGTGTTTCAGTTTGAGAACTATTCCTTGGGGAAGAGGGGGAATAGCTGCAAAATCAGAATTATTCGTTTCTGTCCTGTTTCCAATCACTTTTCAAGCCCCAATGGCTCTCCATCTTAAAGATCTGTTAATCTCTTTAAGTCAACTCTTTTTCTATGTCTGGACTGGCTTCTTGTTTTGTTTTTTTTTTTTTTTTTTTTTTTTTTTTTTGGTGCTGGGGATTGAACCCAGGGCTTTGTGCATGCGAGGCAAGCATTCTACCTACTGAGCTATATCCCTAGCCCTGGACTGGCTTCTTTAAACCACTCTCTGAGCCTCTTTCTCAGAGAAACTGGAAGGAGCCTCCTCCAAGGCTCAGCTCCACTTCCTGGAAGCGTACCCCAGGCACAGGTGAGGATTCACCTCTGAGCTCCCCAGAACCACGTACCAATACCGCTTCACACACTGTTCTTCAGTATGCTTGCCTCCACGTGGGCAAAGGTGCTCCACCAAGATTGTTGAAAGAGGGAAAGACGGTTGAAAATACGGAGGAAATGAACCCCCCCTTGTATATGCTTTTTCTTCTAGATTAAGAACCTGCTAAGGAAACAGGGGAGCTCTGGAGTGTGTTGACTCAATAATGCAACCTGAAGCATGAAAGATTTGGCAACTGGAAAAAACAGATTCTATGGTGGAGTGAACCCCTTAAGCATTATGTTCCCAGTGTCTGAAACAACACCCAGTACTCAAAGGAGACCACTCAGCCCCAGAGGGAGCTGGGTCTGGTTATCCTACTTCTGCCCCAGAAAGCAGCATTCCCTACTAGAAATCAGTTGGGAAATGAATGAATGCCTGTGGAATTAAGTGGCTGCCTCACTAAATAGGGAAGTCTCTTCTCTAAAGGCATAAAGTCTTCATTAGATGATGCTACTCTTTTCAATATAAAAAATTAGTCGTTTTACAGTTGTTAATCTTGTTTAATCCTTCAGTGACTTCCCTGTGCACTTAGAATGAACTCCTGCTTCCAGACCAGGACCTAAGTGGCTCTGAACTCGTGATCATCCTGTCTCAGCCTTCCATTAGCATAATTTATAAACATCCCCTTCCCCACTAGTTGCAGCCCACCATATCTAGAAACCACACAGCCAGAACCATTCCCCCACTGTCTTTCCTGCTACTCTGTGTGCTTACTCTGTGTGCTTTGCAGGTAATCAGAGAAGAGCCAAAGAAGTTCGTTTGGAATAGTTACTTTCCTTTCATCTTCCTGGTCTACAAGTCATTGTAGTTTATTCCTAATTCCTAAAGTATTAACACAAATTATCCTTTTGATTATTAAATATTTATTGGCATGATTTTAGATAAGCTAACTCTGGCTGATAGTGGCACTCATGGAAGACTTTGGAGGAAGTGGTATTTGAATGAGGGCCAAATAGGAATTCACAGTTTGAGGGTTTAGGGTACAGGGAGGTCACTTCAGAGCACTGTAGCACTGGAGGCTTTAATATCACAGTGACCCACAATAATGCTGACAACAAGGGTATAGCACATATTATTGTCCCATATCTGGATATAAGCCTCATTCCCAAAGCTCTGAACAATAAGGTTGACTCAGAACAGAGGACAGTAGCACTTTTCAGGGAAACCGTCAGTGCCAGCCATTGGGCCCATGTGTCTGCGGGCAAAGGCGAATTGTTGTGATGTGACAATGCTACTGCTGGGGAGCAGGGGGGGAGATGCTTGGCCAATGGGATGATTGTTATTTGTGGGAAGCCACTAGCTCTGCCCCTGGCACATCTCAGTCACTGCAGACTTTGGAACCAGGTGGCTTTTCTAACAGCATCACACTGTGATACATCACCAACATATACTTTAAGGTGAGAAGACATTTTTTCTCCCTGAGTTGTATTACTTTGAAAGATAGGGTGATAATAGGAAAATATGCAGCTTATGTTCTGTGACCGCCCCACCACCTAGTTCTTACTTATACTCAAGGCAGACATTGCTAATCAACCTCTGCCCTCTGACTATGTCTGGGGGTGCACTAAAATTCTCAACCACTCTAAATCACTACCAATCAGAATCGCAAAGCCAAGCCATTGTGCACATTAAGCTTCCAATCATAGCTTGTTCACTTATGAGATTCATGACTGGGCAAGTCAAATTTTTTTTTCCTCATCTGAAGTGAGGATAACGATAGGTTCTATGAACTTTATAATGCAATATAAGAATAGCATTTAGTGTCAAGCCTTTGATATATAGATGTTCAATGAAAGAGTTTTTATTGTTATTATTATTCTTACTCTCCATTATTATCTGTTATTATTATTACTGTTTTATTTTATCCATCCTTCAATGTTAAATATCACCTTTACCTCACTCATCTCATTTTGTCAAGTTAAGAGGGTAAGGATAAGACTTGGAAAGTCAAGATTGTATGTTTTCTCTTATATATGGAAGCTACAGAGAAAAAAGGAAGAGAGAAATGGGGAGGAGGATCTCATGAAAACCAAAAGGAGATCAGTAGAATAGGGGAAAGGGACCAGGAGGTGGGAGGCAGGAAAAAAGGGGAAAAACTGGGGAAAGATATTGGCCAAATTATATTGATATGTTGCATGCATGTATGAACATGTGACAACAGATCCCACCATTGTGCCCAATTCTAATGCATCAGTTAAAAAATATGGAAGGAAAAAAAGAGGGTAAGGCTTATTATTACTAACTCAAAGTCAAGAAAACTGATTTAGAGAATTTGATTTGTCCCATGACTGTCCATGTTGTTCTAATTGCTATGAGAAACACACACACACACACACACACGATGCCCCCACCCCTGACAGTGCTGGGTTTACTCCTGGTGGGTTGACAGGATCAATGCTACCATGAGATGCAGTCACATCTACACTGTCTCTTAGCTCCTGCCTGGCCTGGCAGTGGCCTTCCACTCACTGGAAGACTGTATCACTGGTCTTTTTACAAAGAAACTCACACTCATGGTCTAAGTTCAGGGTCTGGCCCCTGAGACACCAGAGGAGCAGCTGGCAGCCAGTGTTCTCCTCCAGCCCCTCTGGGAGGTTTCCTGAGGCCCATGTAGCATGCTTCCCACGCAGTGTACATCCAGAACCTGCAAAAGCACAGATCAGGGAGCCCTTCAGCCCAGGGCTACGCAGGTGGCTCCACACCTGGCCGGCTCTGCCCCAAGTCTCCTATCTTGATACCAACTCACCTCTCCACAAAAGCTAGTCATATTCACCAACTTTGCATAATATAAGTGAAAGCTAGTAAGTTCACAGTAGGGTATGAAATGAACATTTGCTGCAGTATTTCTCAAGGGAGAGGCTCTTGGGATAATAAAGATTATTCTAAACCTACAGCTTTAGACAAGCTGAGCATTAGGCCACTGTGTTTATTGAGGGCAGATGACTACTGTAGCACATGCCTTTTCTTAGCTTTCAGGTCAAACTCACACACTTATTTATTCGTATTTTTGAAGACATCATTTCTCTTCTCAAAGTCTAGTTTTGATAACAGTAAAGGAGAAGCAGAGGGTTCAGTGAGGGGGAACAGTGGATGTCTCTGCTCCCCTCAGCAACATCAGGCCCAATGCCATAAGGAGACAAGGCGAGGTCACAGCCCCGATTCACTGAGGTGCCACTGTTCTGGTCTCCTCATCCAGAAGAAGCCCAGTTTCCTCATCATTAGCCACTCATCATGTGTGGGTACGAGGCATAACCACTGGGATACCTCACGGGGGAGGGGAGAGACCCATCTTGGGGAGGGAAATTTCTGTTTTGCACTACAGGTATTTACTTTCTGCACTGTTTGAGTGCTTTAAAATAACATGTATTAGATTAGTAATTAAAAAAAAAACTATTTAAATAGGTGCCTTGTCACAACTGACACATTGAATAAACAAGCACAATGGTACTAGGTATAAGGCTTTCCTAGGGGACTTTTTAGTATGAAGCTGAGATATAACACTAATCCAGCAGCCTTAGATAATCAACTGGCATTAGGACTGGTGGAGAAAACAATGAGTCATTTGTTGAAACAACACCTATTTATCAATACTGATTAAGTATCAGATATTATAGTACTCACTGGTAGGGCAGACAATCTACAGCCTATTGCAGAAGACAAGAAAAATGTGTATATGCATGTGCATGTGTGTAAATAAAAATAAAACAATATGAACAATTAGTGGTACACACAGAATACTGAAAGTGGGTGTATGTGCGTGTAACTGAAATTCTTTGGATACATACATAAACATGTTGGGACATTTACAATGAAAGTTTAGGAGGTAAGTTCTCATCTTAAATATAAAGTTAATCTTCAGCTTGCATTATTTTCTTTTGCAGCTGTAATACTGGGGTCCTTTTTAAAGAGGTATAAGAAATATCACCAATCTTCCTTAAACTCAAGCTTGATTATAAGGTTTTCTTATTTATCTACGTAAGACTAGATAATACTTTATTGTAGCCTTCCAATTTTATTGCTGTGTGGAAGCCAAAATAGACTATATCAGTAATAACTCAAAGAATTCCAGCATTCTGCTCTAAGAAGAAAGCACCTTGGGTATAAATCATCAATACTTGCAATTATTTCCACATGAATACCAATGGTTGATGAAACCATTTCTTTACTGGTCCTTGACCTAAATGTGGGATATTTTGGAATCCAAACATGGTTCCTAAGGACCTTTTATTCTGAAGTGCCAGCCACCGCCATATC